GCTCCCGGGCGGTCGGGATTGGCCGCATTTTCTCCATCAGTGCTACTGACTTGCAAGTCGGGAATAGAAGGGAAACACCTCTATTTTCAAACGCATGCATCCTTTGTTCAATAAAGTAAAACGGATGCCACGTATGCCTAATTAAGTTTAATCCTGCTCAAGTATGAGCATTTTCACATTTTCCACATCCAAATAATGTGCCTCGGAAGTAGTCTCCAGTTGTTGTTCCACAAGCGGTGACCACACACAATGAATAATGATTCACACAATATCTTGAAAATAGCAACCAAATCTTTTGCGACAACAGCATCTTATCAGCCCGATTTCGGTTTGTTTGCTTTCGTGATATGATATATAACTTATCGGAAAAAGCCAAACGATGACTCATCTACCGTGCGTGTATGCACGCGATAAGAAGCCTAAGGTGTCTTGAGAAAATATATGGGAGTGAATGATTGATATTCAGATACTACTTTTACGGTGCTTTTTGTCTGCTTGAATAAGTCCATTCGATGTTCACAAGCATTGTGTTGGGGACTTCACTGCTTGTGAGATCATTCACTTCCACATGTTAAATGAATTGGTAGATGCGCGGGAGTTATTGTGTGTTGACCATCACACTGCCCAGTCGTGCTGATCAATTTCGCGAGTTCAAACTCATCTTGATGAGGCTGGTTTTCAGCTTACGTGAACAAATAAAATGCACCCAGCCATCGGAGAATTCCGCTGAAACATTGATTTGACGAAAAACAGTTAATGTTAATTGACTAATCCCGTGAGTACATTTGAATTAATCATAATAAATCCCAACTAGATGGTCAAATAAAATATAGGTGCTTATGTCCGAACCACACCGTTGAAAGACCGCATCACTACCATGTGCGAATGCAACGATAATGCCGGTTTTCTTAGCATGGATTTGTACTCCTTCGATAGATATTTAAGCCTCAAAGGATAACATAGGGTTGACGGATTTCAACCACTGCGTATCAGTGAAGAATGTCAGACATCATTTGATCTTGGTCCTATATCCACTAGCATGCAACAGCGGTAACCTATGAAGCCAAAAACCTTGTCTTCTTGAGTTCGAGGCCACACCGTTTTGTTTTATGTACATCGCTCCGGAACATCCGCATAGTGCTTCCACGCAATTTCTCACGTGTGTGGCCCATAGGCGACTTCGGAAAGACTGTATCGACTCTGAACGATAAATATGTACAGTATTTTACATATCGACGATACTAAGAATCATTATGTGCAACAATTTTGTCCCCGAGAGGTTAGCACCGATGCATTGGTGACCGTATTGGACCGTATTGGCACTGTCGTATGCAATACATGAGCACAGCAACACTGCACTTCATGATTTCAAATTCAAAATTATTGGTCACTTAAGTGATAGTCAATCATTCTGGCGATATCCAGACAGTATGAAAGCGTACTCCGTACATTAAGCAATAGGACACTTTCTATTGACTACTTTACATTGGATATGTTGTATTGCGTCTAAGTGATGATTATTCTGCGTCTCGTGTGTAAGAAATACTGGAACATTTCGCACATGCGTCATCCAGATCGTGAATACCTTCATCAGAAAGTAAACCATGATCCCAAAATTTGGTTGTCGTGTATCCGGGGTAATCACTATCACTTGATGAGCTGTATGGGTAATATTGCTGTTCAATTCTGAACTTGACTGTTGACTGTCCAAACCACATTTTCGGAAAACCTATTGGCTTCAAATGGATAACATAATACACACGGAATTTCGTGCTAGAACAATCTGTTTTTTGAAAAACCTGTGTTGTCCGGTTAACGAAGTGGACGGCAGATGATTCTCAGAGATAGTGCCTTTTTTGCTCATGGAGTCTGTGCAGCAGTTCGCTCGGTTCTGCTGCGTGACGCAGGAACTTGGCCAGTACGGGAATAGAATTAAGGTTGACTGTCGGTGTTGTGTACGTTGTGTACGCCGCATTACACGAGCACCGAACAATCAATGCTCAAGTTAGCTGCACACTTTTAAGTAATCGCGGAAGCCCACTGAAGCGAGTGTCCAACCTTTGAAAATTATCCCGTATGGGCTGTGTATTATGTTACCAAATAGGTTGCGTAGATTGCGTGCGATGTTTGCCGAGGCCGGCAGCGGATAGTTCAACTAAACAACAACCTGCTGTAAGTGTATGAAAACCTGTTCAAATAGGTTGCGTTAGTCTTCCCAAACGGTAACCCCCGGGATCGATAGTTAGAGACACTGTGTGTGTGTGTGTGTGTGTGTGTGTGTGTGATATGACTGAATGTTGGAAACAGTGACGCTCGTGCATCATCCCGATCCCTTTGCAACATTAGTTTACCAGAAATCTCTGTTTTTACATTGGCACTGCTTTCAACAAGGTAATTCTTTCTTCACCCAAAGACAGCAACTTAGACCACCGCACAAGAGTGTATACTTACCAGTTGTATAATCTGAAACTGAGCTGAAGTATGATACGGAATCATCGTCCAAGGCGTGTGCATGTTCCTCAACAAATGTTTGCAGATCAATCAAACAGGGAGAGACAACCGGCAAAAATAAGTTTTATCCAATGTAGACTATTCGGCTTACGTTGTTTGTTATCTTGCAAGTTGTAGAAAGACACAAAATCAAAAGTTCAAACAATTATTGTTAGTGGGGTGCCTACATATGGGACGCTGTCGACCACCCAAGAAAGGTTCGTGACGTGAAATCTGAAAATTCTCTCACTTTGTGAGATTTGATAATTGAACTATGACACACACAGGCACAAGCTTTTCTTTGATCGATGCGATTTTATTCAAACAGAGATCGGTCGAACATGCGTGATGCATCGTAGCAACCCAATCAGGGTAGACGGTCTTTAACTGCTTGTACAATTCGCAATTGGATGAGTGTGTGTAGGGGGGGGGGATAGAATCTACTCACATTCGTCCCAAGGTATCAGTAAACAACGGTCCAGCTGATGAGATACGATCTTGCAACTTATGTTGATGGACAGGGTGGGTTACTGACCATAGAGAAATCAGCTTCCCTTGCGGTCTTCACACCTCGTTAAGAGGCCCGAATTTTAGTAGTCAAGCCAACCGTAGAAAGAGTTGAAGGTTGCAGTGATCCGTTTGTTTATGTTTGACCAGAATCAAACTTAATCCGATGATGGCTCGAGCTGAGAGTGGGTGAGAGATGAATTGGTGTGCGCCCGCACCTATGTCACGGATTGAAAAACAAAAACTTTAGCTACTTAAAGATCGGTTTTGCTGACGCAATCTCTTGGGGTCCGAGGCGGCCTTTTAGCGGTCGCTTTATCCCCACTTCAAAACTGTTCGGTGGACGGAACATTGTTGTGCGCGTCATCCGCACGGATGCGTCATGTCAGCCAGAATCCAGTTAGTCTCTTTTTCTTGTCACCATTCGTTTAATTTAAACAACTCGCTACTCTCGATGAATAACCCTGGTTGCACAGTTTGTTTTTATTGTGTCAAGGGATTGTTCTCATCCCCGGGTCCGTGACTGTCATTACACAAGTGCACATTTGTGTGACGAACTGTATGCCTCGTCTCGTTCATGGTAGATCTGCAAAACTCTAATCGCGTAAAAACTCCCCATTCCACATGTCCGAATTGGACTTTCTAACTGGAAGTATATTTATTTCCCGAGATAAACTGGAATTTACTGGGTTGTGTTACTTCATTCCTTTGAGCCCACCAAAATAAGATGATTGACGTGTATTTCTACGATCATTAGGGCTTGAGTTCTGACATGTCAGATTAACCTTTACGAATACTGTCCTGAAATCAACAAGACATCTTCATATTTCAAGCCGAAATCAACTTTGAGCGTGAAAGATTAAAGAGGTAAATCTGATCGATACGATTCAATGTCCATAAGTTAACATCATCGGAAAAAATTAATTCTTTGTGATACTAATCACATTCAGACTTAATAAATTAAATCCAATCAGGGAGAAGCAGGTATCATTATTCATAAAAATGTGTTTCACAATATGTTTGTATACAATGCTATTTGTTTTCCGGATATCAGTCAGCATCCTCAGTATCTGTGGAACCGCAAAGTCCGAATCACGAACTAAAGAACTCTATTTTCCGCGTGCTATCTTTAAGCCATTTGAGTTTATATGAACAGGGGGAGGAGCATGATTGCACACGAAAACTTCCGATGTATTGCGATACTTCCGTGATAGTCCGAGAAATGTCCAACATAATTTCACCAAATCATGATCGACAGACATGGGCAAAACAGAATTCGAAGGTGTACGCAATTGGACTAGTTTATCTCTCCCCCCCGTCCTCCGTTTCCAGTGTTCAATTAACCATGTCCCCCCCCCCCNGTGGGATCAAACCACTATCATCATACAGCCTTCCGTATTTAGGGTCTCTCACTGAACCCGAACCTCCCCGTATGGAATAGTATTATCATCCATCTGGAACAGGTGATTTAGCAACTTAAATGTCCGCGCGCAGTGCCAGTTGATGAAGCATTTGTCCAGTAGAACACCCCCGGGACACTTTTGCTCCCACACAAATGACTTTGAGCTTGAAAGAAAACGAAGAGGAGAAATCATCACCTGCGGGAAGCTGAGTTAGCATGATCAGTGATCATTGGATTGAGTATAATTAATTTACTCCCGCAGAGTCCCTAAAAATTGGGGACCAGTATGATGAGAAGGTGGATTAGACATAAGAGGCAATTGTCTGTGCGTTTGAGTAGAATCAAGACAGCTGCTTTTGACGTTGTATGTCATCCGATTCGTTTGTAAATATGCTTACAAACTTACTTTGTGTATTTATCCCAAGAATGCATTGTATTTCCTCCTCCCATGTCTCAACAAAACGATAGTTTGAACAATTTCGTACATGACCCCCTAGCACTGAAACCAAAACACAGAGTACCACGTCAAGCTATCGATCTTGCATACATACTTGTTTTTTTTCTATCTCTCACTCTCACATGTACTCATGACGTGCGACAGCTCGTTGCTCATGATCCAGACAGTACAGCACAATTGACCTACCGCATGGGCCTGTCCGCGGAAAGCGCAGTGATGAACAGCACGTTTGTGGTCGAATCGGACGGTCGTGTTCGTTTGCGTAGTTACCTCAACTACGAATTGCGTCACACATACAAGCTGCCCGTGGAAGTCACAGATGGTGAATTCGGCGCACAAAGTGTACTTCACATCCACGTAATCGATGTGAATGATGAGCCACCCGCGTTTGAAATCAACCCAAAATTGCTACTGGCTGATGAGAATGTGACTCCAGGGAAACTGATTGGCCGCGTAAGTCTTGTTCCCTTTCTGGCAGTCATTAGTAATGCCTCCATTTAAATTGAGATAATCGACATTTTATAGCATCGGTCATACATAATCCCATCGATCATTATCCTGGACGATGTGGACTTTTCCAAGAAGATAGAAGTAACTCTTCCTCAGAAAAAACATGCTTAGAGGTTATGAGGATTCCNGCCTGACTGATTCATTGGCACAAAACACCTAACCCTTGACGACCAATGCTTCGCATGAATTCGCGTTGATCTGGCAACTTTGGCCAGTTTATCAGCTGCGTTCTGTGTTTTTAAACTAGTGAATTCCTCGAATGATTGGCAGGAGCCTACGCTCCATATTGTATCCTGCGCTTGTATTATTGGATAAGCACTATAGTCCCTGCCACTCATTTTGCGGCCAATTGTAAGCTGTTGTTCAACCAAGTACAAACCTCACTCTTCAGAACAGTCCACACACAAATCCATTCAATCGTCTGGGACTGTGATCACAAGTTTCTAAGTACAACGAGATGTAATCACCAGATTGCATGTTCATAAACGGTATTCAAACGGCCTACAGTCAACGTCTGTGGATGTCACCGACTCCGTTGTGGTGGTCGGACTATTCGTCAAACGAGAGACTACAACGAGGAACAGTTGGACGTCTGCAAAGAAAGAGCTTTGTAGCATCATCGCTAATAAAACGGGAATAGCTCTTTGCTGGAATGACCGAAAGCCATCAGAAAGTGCGTCTCCAGTGGACGATGCATCGAAGTAGCCGACATGGAACACAAGTGGTAATACCGTTCTAAGCGATAAACCAAGGTTTCGGCTACGAGTGTTAAACGGAACGATGACAGCCTGGGGATGGAATGGGAAGAGGGATAAAATGAGTGGCCATTTTTCAAGATTGTGGCGGCTCTTTTACGGTTTGTTGAATTAATCGGTCTGATGGACTGACTTTCATCGAGAGAATCATGACTGCGTGAAATATTTCATAAAATTGAAGCCACTCGTAAAACAGAGATCAACCTTAATCGTCCGAGACAAGGACACTGAAAGATTACTTCATCCCTCTGAACGATACCTCATAGTATTCCATGCCAATACCGCCGGTGTATCAGTCACTCGCGCCTTTCGGTGGTAGTCGGTCATTCCTAGAATGTTTACTGACCGTGACGCGCAGGAAGCGGTGACTCGCTTGTAAAGGTCACAGAATTACCACCCCGGAGGACGTGTGTTCGAATCCCAAAAATAACACCGCCTGGCCTTCTGTATAACGTATTGCATGCAGCCCTTTCATTGGCCTCTTCCATTTCCTGAAAACGGTATCATTATTTACACAATAAAAAGAAAATGAAAAAGAAGAAAGACGACAGTTTTTCAACACTTGTCTTGTTTTGCGGTCTAAACTGAGAAAGGCTAATTCTTGTCTTAAGGATGCTGCTGCGAGAAAGTGCTTTCGATAAGAAAGAAAGTTATACGCTATCGCTAATATGCAATTTGTTTTTGGCAATCCGTAGTTTACTCTAGGTAGGGCCTAGTTTCAAACAGGCAACTAGTGGATTGAAGATGGCTGGTCGAGTTTCGATTGTTTTCACTCCTTGGGAATTAAAATCAGACCATACAAGACTCAGATTGCACATTTAACTAATTTTCGGTTAGGCTGAAATGAAATGGCAACGAGTGAACAGTCGAACTTATGGAGGTTTAGTCACAACTCTACCCAAAGAAAGTATGAGCCCAGGAGAGAAAATTTAGGCGGGTTTAATCCGGATAATTGCAACAAAGACGACAGGCTGTTGATTGTGTGAAAGCCTCCGGTTCAAAGAAAAAAATAATACCAGGGAAGGAGAACATAGATAAGATGCGACATCAAGTGTCAATTCACAAACTTTAGGAGGAGAACACATCATGGGAACACCAAATCGTGAGAATTGTTGCCATTTGTGTCGACATTAACTGGGTCAGAGACGACAGCCACCACGTGTCCGATTTTGCGATTTTGATAATGTTTTGCTCATTGTGACTGTGTTCCTTTCGGACTCCCTCTTTCTAGCCTCACACCTCACTAATCAGTTCGCGGCGATGTTTCTCGACTTCTCTATGGGGAACTGGGTTTCTTCGCACCTACTGGTCGCATTATGTGGTCTGCAGCTTTTGGTACAACTCAAAATTAGTCACTTGGTCATTTCGGTTGTGGTATCTCGGTGGATGGGTGTAAAAACACATTGTAAAGCGCACCCACCCAGAGAATCGTCTATGGGTGGAGAACTTCAGAAACTGCATATCCAAAAACGAGAGCCATTGCCTAATTTTCGTACAGAACGCTGTTTGCATTGCTTTGTAATCTATGCGCGCGTGCGCGCTTTTTTCCAGTTGGTTATTGAAGCCTCTCATGTCGCATTCGAAACAGTTAGCTTGTTGTCATTTGCCGTACCGGGTGGCAAAGATGTTTGGACCACGGCTCCTATCCCGTCCACACACACATACACACACAGAAAACAAATAAATGCAAATCGGTACTTGATTGGCAGGTGAAAATTATTCATTGTGCAACGTCATCGTGCCACAAATAGCACAGAATGCCTGTAGAAACAGTCTACCATTGTTATATTCTTGCCACCAGAAGTATATTTATCTGCCGAATACACACACCTGTAGTTTTGACGGTTACACTGGTTACCACTGAGACACTCGGACAGATTACAGGGATTAGTTTCTCATCAATATGGCTTGTAATAGCTATCATTTTCCTTTGCCGATATCGTCATTTAAAGGCATAATTACGATGGTGGTACTGAAAACAAATGAGAACTTAGAACCAATCACTTTAGTTCATGGTATGATTTGTGCTGGAAACGATTTCATCTAGCTGTGTGTATGCATTGCACATCTCTATGCTCGGAAACCTTTTCAGATTTCACAACACATGCTAGAATTTCAAATGGAAATTCAACGTGTATATAGTAAATGAAGCGTGAACTGAAAAGCTAGGAAATGGAGAACGAAAAACGGTGTGACCAGTTGCCCGGTGGCGGAGTGGCTAGCATGTTTGCGTTCTGTCCATGAGGTCCCGGGTTCGATCCCCAGTTGGGTCGATAGATTCACACGGTTGATAAGACCCAACCTGGTCGAAACAGCTGCCCGATGCCTCCTAGCTTTTCGGTTCACGCCTAATTGGTTATATAAATGACGAATTCCCATTTGAAATTTAATCAAATCCTCAATTACTCACATGCTAGAATGTTTCTCTTATCTGGAGCAAACACACAACATAATAGTTTATCAACAGAGAGAGAGAGAGAGCACCAAGACACAACAAAGACCGATATCATGGCACAATTACGCATCTCTCTCTCAAATGATTTGCCTTTATCTCATTTAGGTACGTGTCTATGATCCGGACAGTAAACCGGTGAATGGCGAAGTACGATGCTCCGAGCCGGACCAGTTGAAACGACGTCAAGCGTTGAGCTTCAATCCGGATCCTGGGGTGAATCCCAGCTCCGATGTGTACGATTTGACCACGCGATTCGCACTCGATCGGGAAGCCATTGCAGGACCAGCACCGAAGCAGCTCTACGTTTACCTCATCTGCGTGGACGGATTCGAATCACAACACGCCCAGGGCACACAACACACATCCACCATGACTGCCACACTGGTTGTTCGAGATGACAACGATCACTCGCCTGTATTTAATCAGACAGTTTACCACGCTGCGATGCGTGAAAACAATTTGATTGGTGAAAAGGTCATTCAAGTAAGTATCTAACGCATCAGTTTATATTATAATATACCTATTAAAAATGTATACCATGCATCCAGTCACCCGAGGGATGGATATCCAGCGACCACATACCACAGTGTGTCAACAATCAAAGAAGGGAAATACAATACAACACTTCAAAAAGTGAAACGGACAGCAACAGCACAAAACCAATGGCACACCATGGTGTTTATCATTCGGTTAGATAGGTATTTTCGCAGATTTTCTGCAACGAGTTCATGGTTTGTGAGTAATCCATCGAGATACGGGACAACAGAGCGCCTGCAAGCTTCAGTGTGAGCCTTTATAGGTTGATAACCGTTAAGGATGAATGAATAAGGATATAGGGTATGGGAACGATCAGATAAAATCTTCTTGGAGAATGTTTTATAGGACTTGAGGTGGTCTGTCACCACATGCTGTACCAGATGTTCCCGTGGTATAAGATTACATACCGACAGAAAGTTGGGGGATCGAAAAATGAGTTTATGGTCTTTGTCAAAAAGAGCAGGGAAGATAACCCAGGACCCATAAAGCCAGCGGGGCAAAACGCAAGCAAAAGCAAAACGCCTTATGAGATGGATGGTTTGGGATATAAAGTTATTTAGGACGTAAAACAAAGAACGTATACCTCCGGGCTTTCAGAAAATCGTTAGTGGTATGGTCAACCCAATTAGGGTTACGGTTGAATATACCACCAAGGTATTTGACACACGGTTGTCGCTCCATCTGGTAGACAGATAAAGGGAGGCTGGCATTGACAGTTACTCAGCTCTTCCAGTCAATCATGCCGTCGATAGCACTAGACTCGAGGTTCGCTCATATCACAGCTAATCGGTAGTGCATATCTACCGTCCCATTCGGGATTTGAACTCCGGACCCATCGCATGGACGTCATGTGTGTTATCATTTTTTCAACCAGCTCGTGTCAGGGTTGAACCGAACTACCAATTCACGTTTGTTCAGGTGTCGTCTTCAGAGATAGTCAGTCAGCTCATTTTGGCCCGACGTCAAAGAAGGGAGACAGTTGGTTATCTATTAACTTCAGTAGATCCAATCAATCAATATCAATTATCCCACACCACTACATACAAGGAACTGTAACGTAAAAGTGACTTACTAACCCAACCAAGTAGGTTTGTGACCAGTTAGCCCACAACCAGCATGGAAGATCTTTTCTGGTGGGAGGCTCTCGATTTAGGTTAACTGTGTGGTGCCGGAAATTTCCAGGAGGACTTGCCGGGTCTCACAACTACCTTTGTTGTCACGCTGAGCACGAGCATACGGAGAGTTTAGCCTGCGCAGTTCATTCCTGATAAATTAAGAAAGAGCGTGTACCTCATTGCGCGTATGCATCCTGAAGGCACGTTCTTTTCTACGATAAAATTGTTTGAGGTGTGGGGAGGGAAATCGATTGGAGTGTCTATCAATCGTATCTGAGGCACAACAAACATCAGAAAAAGTTTAGGTAACTTGTTAAGTGATCACAGAGAACGGAAGGGTGAGAATGGAAAAAACAAAGTAAGGTCGGGGCTACTGATAGTTTCCCCTAGCCTCATAACCTTTTTTGGAAAAAGCTGCCTAACTTGAAGCTTGAGCATGAGACGGTGGTTGGTTCTGTTAAAAATGGTAGGGGAAAATTTTGACATAGAGTGATCAGACGTCTCTAACGGAGATGAGTGGCATTCTACACAAAGCAGCTTGCAAAGGTCGGACAAACCCACGTCCAGATATGTATCAAACCTGGTGGGAAAGATAACAATGTTTCGAAAACTTACATCGGTTAGGAAACAGATAGCAGAATTATTAAAGTCACCACAAATAATACAAGATGAGCTGCCGACATGTTCAAACAATGTAGCTGAGAGTACCATAAAAATCATAAAAAACATCACAGGGGACAATATATACATCCATTCACGTGAATGAGTGAACGGGAAAAGCTTAAATTGCATAACAGATGCATTTATATAGTGCGGTCAGGTGACACCACTGATTTTCCCACAAATGTGACAACATCACAGGACGATCAACTCGATATCTAGCGAAAACATCCAAGTGAACTAGTTCGTCATTGATTCATTTGTGAGGCCAGCTTTCTTGAGGCATGATCGTACCAAGCTGGGAATACTCCCGCACTTTAGCTAGGCTGGTGAGATCGGCCATATTTCTGATGAGAGATTATTGGACGTTACAACTGAAAATAACGGGGACAAAAACGGGAGTTGGTTTGTTTCCGAAGAGCAACTCTCCAACCGACGCCATACTTCCTCGGATTTTTCAAAAGTTTTCTAACCGCCCTTTTGGTTTTATTCTTTATTCTTTGCCTGAAATAGTTATTGGCTTCACATAGAATCACGGTTGTATGTGACGAAATTAGCCATTACTGTAATTGCACTAGAGTCGCCTGGGCTATTAGGGCAACTGACGCACAAAAACATCAAAGATACAGTGATGCTGATACCCGTAAATCGTCCGAAGATGGAAAAACGAATAACGAGGCAGAATTTGTGAAGGCCCCATTATGAAGGGGTTTTCATTTGAAATCGAAGAATGCACCCTACAGTCTGCGTCGAGGTATTAACAACAGAATCCTGCATGGAGGGCAAATAATTGCAAGTCCAAAGAACAGGAGCAAACTGTCAGTGTAACTCTGAACCTATTAGGTTATGTTATTAGTTCTCTATGTCCTTGTGTTCAACCTGTTGTCTTCTAAACACACATGGGTATTAGCAATGCTACTATGTAGATCGGAGGGGGGAACCACTTTTATAGTAACTACAAGGGAGAAATTGGTTTGGAAAAGTGTGCCAACACGTGATACTACTGACAGGTTGCTGTTAGCGATAGTGAAGCAGCTTAAGTTGCTATCACTGAAGTGTTCCAAACCATAAGATCCGAAGTTCATACCCTCTTGCTACCATTCATCTTTAGAGGTATGCACCTCAGTTTTCGTTCAACTCAACACCGAGTATTTCTTATTGGGTGTGTTATTTAAAACGGAGATAGAGTGGCTTGGGGTTTACTACATGTAGTTCTCAACTGTTTGCTAACTGTGCCCAATTTGTACATCCTTGATTCAACGGATGACAACCT